TCCATTAATTCCCTGCAGCACTGAATACTGAACTCTGTCAGAGAAACAGCATAAAAGCTTGTGCATTTTTAATGTGAGTGAGGATACAGAACTACGCCAGAGATATGTGCAACTCCAAAAAAGCTAAATCAAGGGTTAAATTGGCCAGTAAGATCTAGATTCACCACCTTTAGTCTTTGAAGGCTCCGTTTTGTCCTTTTTGTGCTCTTCTGTAAATTGTTCAGTGTCATCATATTCACTGGGTTCAGTGATTGGTTCTGTGTTTTGCTCATCATAAACATCTTCATATTGCTCCTCTTCATATGGTTCCTCTGTTGTGAAGGGCTCTTCGGTGGGCGCTTCAGTTGGCAGAATATCTCTGAAACACAGTTAGACACATTCATATCATTAAAAAGCACAGAATGTGTCCTGTACAGCTAATTAGTGCTCAGTATTGCAGCATCTGTTTGTATTTCAACGTGCAAATAAAAACAAAATATGGCTCATGAAGCCCAGGTTTCCCATTTCTGGCACAGTACAAAGACTCAAAACAGTAACATTTTTAGACCCTAAAACCTTTGGATCATTAAACCTAGAGCTTAACCGACTGTGCCACACCACCTTGTGCCACACACAAAAACATGCAAAGAAAATGCTTCTCCTGCTACAGCCAAATGGTTTTGAAAACACACAAACCATGCACTAACCTTTCTGATTTTATGTCGGAAGACTGTGATTAGTAAATCACATTACCTCTCTGTGGTTTGTGGTCCAGAGTCAACAGGCCTCACCACAAAACCACGACAATCACGAGTCTGTATTGATGACCGGGGTAAGATTCCTCCTACAAAACAACAGCAGATACACACCAGGGTTATTATTATTAACTGAAATTAAAAATAAAGCCATAAAAATTCAATTGCTAATACTTAAATGTTAAGTGAAATGAAATAAATTAATAAAGAAAAAAACCTTGTTTTACGCTACTTTCGAAGGCTACATTTATCATTTTTGCTGAAGTACTAAATAACTAAAACTAAAACTGAAATAAAAATCTACAAAAATTAATAAAAACTATGTTAGCATCTGTTAATTTTCAGAAGA